AGGTGTTGTGAGAAATTGTATAAATTTGGAAATGGGCAAATGTTACAAACGACCACCTGCCAATATTTTAACTCATTTGATTGATCCTGACCTAGGTTAAGAACATACTCTCTTGTTATGCCTATATTAACGTGGGGGAAACGCACAATGTCATAAAATAGTTAAAAACATCGTGCGTTTACCCCACGTTAATAGTTATCAATATTATCCTTGGCAGCTTGCAGATTGTGAAACGTGGTCAGTTAGTCTGTAACATTTCCATATTTCAATAACGTATACTGTCATAAAATATTTTAAAATATTGTGCGTTTCCCCATGTTAATACCTTTTAGGAACAAATGTATGTATCGCCATGTATAGTGGCTACAGTCATGCAATCACACTTATCACATTCATGTTATACGAGTAATGCACTCAGATGGTTTTCTTCATATTCAACTTTACTCCAAACAAATTCATTACCAATGCCTCGGTTAAATTAAACTATACAACTCAATACAGTTGCAGTCCGTTTGAGTCAGAAACGGACCGATGAATTGCAAATTTTATCATTGTACAAAATTGCCACATAAATATAAATAGTACACATGTTTATCATTTACTAATACCCAACAGCTTTCTTATATTTGAAAATTTTCCGGACTCCACCAAAAAGGTTCTTTAAGAAACTATCATTAAAATTTTGACACAGTTCACTATTTGTTACGAGGGAGGAGTGCAGAGAAAGGGACAGCCAGGTGTTAGAGAATCAGTGCACAAGTGCCCACCAAGTTATTGATTCATTAACCTGTGCTGTGCCGTCTCCATCCTTTCTCGCACACCTGGCTGTCCCTTTCTCTGCACTCCTCCCTCGTAACAAAATGTGAACTGTGTCAAAATTTTAATGATAGTTTCTTAAAGAACTTTTTTGGTGCACTCATCGGTCCGTTTCTGACTCAAACGGACTGTAGGTTGAAATCTACCGCCAATCAAATCAGAAAATTAAATCATCTGTGATAGCTACAATAGCTGAAAACACGGACAATAGTAGGCCATACATCGCTGGCTAATAAACACCAGTTTATTCACTCGGGCAGTAGAATTTACTAGGTCTATGTAGAAATATTAGCTTACGTTACACTGAATACTTCGGCAATGTAGCTAATGGTTTATCCATATTTCAAAAATTCTATTCGAAAATTGCTGGTAATACGGTAAATGGCTGAAACAAAACAAAACAAAACAAACGACCCGGTTGCCGTTGTACAAAGCGATCTTAACTGACTCTAACTCCCATGCTTTAACATAGAATTAAGTAGTCTAAGCGCTAAGGTTGTTTCGTTCATCACCCAGTTGGTTATAAGCGTATATCAACGTTGGTAGACACTGAACCTGTACCCAATGTCAATATATATATTTTTTCCTAATGTATTTTTTTTTTTTTAACTTATGAGCATCGGAATCTCCGTACTTCTACTCAGTAGTCGTGTCTCCAGATCAGCTGACTGGACTTTCAGATTCATCGATCACTTGACTGTCTGGTTTGTTTACAGGAGACCAAGTGTTCTTATACTGCAAATCTTCAGAAGGTGTCGGAAGCAGTTTAACCAGAGGTCAATGTCATCATGGAATTGTCCATAGAAAGATTTCTTTCCACAGGTTAATTACCGTGTGGTCATTGTGGTCATCTTACCTATATAAGATAATAATAATAATAATAATGGATAGCATTTATATAGCGCAAATGTCCGCAAAGGACTCTTTGCGCTTGATGCTAATGCACGTGAAACGTAACAGTGATGCATAAGTCAAAACACAGTCACCATCAAGCAGAAATATATTCTTCATCCTGCCTGACTTACATGTAACCTGGCTTAATTTTGTTCCTCGACTCATGCAACTTTGTGTTTACAAACACTATCAAGACGACATCATATGATTGTATCAACTGTGACTTCAGACGAAAAATCCATATCGTTGTAAAGGAATGATTCCTGAGAGCAGGATTCATGAGCTGTACATATATGGTCACCTGCACAACGGAACAACACACGTAAGATAGGTCATGCTTGTTACGATATTGTAGCACATGTAAGGAAAGTCATGGATGTTATAATATTGCAGCACGTGTATAAGGAAAGTCGTGGGTGTTAACGTGAAAGTCAAGGGTGATAAGATATTGCAGCACATGTGAATATAATCACGGGTGTTTAGATATCGGGGTAGATGAGAAGAAAGTCAGGGAAATCACGATATTGCAGACCATGAGAAGTAAGTCACAGATGTTGTGGTATTGCAGACCATGAGAAGTAAGTCACAGATGTTGTGGTATTGCAGACCATGAGAAGTAAGTCACAGATGTTGTGATACTACAGCACATGAGAAGTAAGTCACAGATGTTGTGATACTACAGCACATGTGGAGAAAGTCACAGATGTTCAAACACATCACATGAAAGGAAAGACTGGTTTATTCGGTTATTTCCTGAGGCATGAGTGAAAACACACAGGTGTTTAGATATAGGGCTACATGGAGGAACGTCACTTGTAGTTGGACTACGCATTCAGATTATGTGTCATGGTTATAAACTTAGGGGCAAAAGAAACGATACAAAGTCGAAATCACTGATATTACAAAACGACAAACCATCATTGTGAAAAAGGACAGTGAATTTTAACAACAGATATATGTTAAGATATCGCAGCACGTGTAAAGAAAGTCATGGGTCTTAAGACATTGTAGCAGCACATGTCAGGAAAGTCGTGGTTTCAAGATATTGCAGGACATGTAAGGAACGTCGTGGGTGTTAAGATATGTTGCCCATACACCTGCTATTAAAATTCACTGTCCTTTTTCACAATGGTGGTTTGTCGTTTGGTAACATCAGTGATTTCGACTTGGTATCGTTTCTTTTGTCCGTTAGTTTATTTTCAACACGATTTAGCAAATGAAGTATTTGACTTGTATTACCATTGTATATATATATATTTGATTACTTGATCATAATTCTTTTGTAAGCATGCATTCTCAGTTAATATAGTTTAGGGATATGTCTCCTTTTCATTTGTATACATACCTTTGGAAGATATATAATTCAAGTAAGTCAGCATCATAAAGTTTATGCTACGATATCTTGACAAGCAGGCACATGTGACTGGCCCATATGTGGCGGCCATCGGCTAACCTAACATAAAACGATGAACGTTCGCTCACCACGATATTGCCTGTTATTGACAATCTGAACAACGTTAAATGTGGAAAGAGTTCACAGATGTTCAATATGTTCGATACTGTTTCTGTTTCCACATTATAAAAAATGTTTGAAAAGAATCAGTGATTTACAACCATGATGATCAGTTTTTTGTGCTATGTTTGCTCCTGTGCCAGTCAATAATGTTTGCGTTCACATAGACCTACTACATTAATAACCCCAAAACATGTCTCACGTCAGACAGCAATGAAACTGTAACAGTCTTTATGGGTTTTTTCGAACAGCTGTATCATAATAATTGGTAATAATCATCTCATATATCAGTATCGCCATTATAGACACACAAACTCTGGACCTACAAAATATGTGTGCTTGTTTGCAAATGGTCTGAGTAGATCTACAGACGGTTGCGACAACTACGTACACTCAGAGCTCTATATTTTTGTTGGGGGTGAGGTGAGTTGAATTGGGTTTAACGTCGTGCTTGAGAATATTTCGCTCATATGACGACGTGCATGCGTGTGTATGTGTATGTGCGGCTGCTTGTACTAGCCCAGACTTAAGCTGGTTCTATAGTGCTAGCCCACTGAGATACATGCCGCATCTATATTTTGTTGGAGATCAGTTCCCCAGAACAAATACAGGATCATAACGTTCACATCTTCCGATGATATCTGATCATAACTGGTCCGTAGTCCCAGACTAATGCTTAGTCACTGCATGTTTATAATTTTGATAGAAGCTGAGTAATCTTGACTTGCTTCTTTTAGCGTTGCAGGGAGGGCTAGGCAGAAAGGGAAATAATGTGGTTCGGGGACTGTTAGATTTGTAATACATTTTAAACAGTGAAGAACACACTCCACCACGGCCTCATTTCGCTTTGGTGGGTATGTGGAACAAACTATCACCCTTTTTAACTGGTTTAACCGGAAACAATAAGTATGACATTTTAATCGCTGAATTTTTTCTTGATGATATAAAGACCCCATGTATCTGAGAATATCGTCAATACAATCTCTCTCTCTCTCTCTCTCTCTCTCTCTCTCTCTCTCTCTCTCTCTCTCTCTCTCTCTCTCTCTCTCTCTCTCTCTCTCTCTCTCTCTCTCTCTCTCTCTCTCTCTCTCTCTCTCTCTCTCTCTCTCTCCATCTTAAAGCTATTTCAGGATTCAGTTACGCAGACTTGCCGCCAGTCTGTGTATACCAACAAGCATGGGTTGCTAAATCAGTTCTAACCCGGATGTTCACGAGTCTAAAAGTGTATATAACTAATTATCAACATTTCGAGATGTGTAGCTGACCTCTGCTATAGCGAAGACATCCCCAAATCTCAAGTGTTAAAGAAAGTAGATCCTCACAACAAAACTAGTAGTGTATAGTAAACGAGAACGACGAAGGTGAAAATGTATTTTTAAGCCATATCCTGTACAATCAGCTTCACATGACAGAGCACGCAGCTTTTTGTCTGTTCGTCCGCCTACGCCATTAGGACACCTGGTTCAAAAATACATAATGACATGAGAGCGTTATATGGTCATTTATGAAACTCGATCACGTCTCCATCCATGTATGAAATCGAAAATATTAGAATGGTATGACAACTGTTGATTACACTTTGTGCTTGTAAATTGTATGAAGCTGGTATATTTTCTCAAAATTATTAATGACGCAATAGAGGTAAAGAAATATGAGACAATATCTTTACTTCGTCATTAGATCACTTGTTTACTATTATCTAACTGCACGTGGCACGTGAAGGTTACATCCTGGAGGTGTGTCCCTCTTATCCAATGAAATTGTCGCCACATGTCACATGACCCTTTCACGGGCACATTCAACGAAGTGACACAGCGCAATTTGCACACATAAGAGCTGTGGACGAAAGCCTGGGTAGATCTCGTGCATTTTGGCTGAGTTCAACATGACTTCCACTGGCAGCGCGATTGATACTGACTGCATAACGCTCACGCGTTTTGTGTTAGAATCGCAGAGACAGTTTCCTCAAGCGACAGGCGACCTGACCCAACTTATCAATGCCATTCTCACAGCCATCAAGGCCATTTCGTCAGCTGTGAGGAAAGCGGGAATACATCACCTGTAAGTGTTTGACATTTCTGATGATTAGCAACACGGAACTAATTGTTTATTAATTCACTTAGTAAATTAACTGTTATGAAGTTTTCTGTGAACTCAAGTAAGTAAATCAAACTCAAAATGTGTCTTGTACGGCCTTCACCTTGGCTTTTGAACCCCAGGTTTGTGTTTACTTTCAGAGACTGATAAAACGTTGGTTGAGGTTGTAGGCATGCGATGTTTGTGTGTCTGCTGTCTGACACAGCACTCAGCAATGTTCCAGCTGTAAATGATCGAGGCTGGACCCAAATGTTCAGTGATCGATATTGTGAGTCACGGATCACATCACCCATGCATTTGTTCTCCGTGTACCATCAGAGGTTGCTGATGACCTATTAAGTTCACGCCTGAAATCCTGTGTGACCCATAGTGATCCAGGCTTAGTGGACTGGGGTATTGATAAGGAGAGGCAAGGGCACTCAAGCCACCTGAATGATATGGGGCTCTGGTTACTAAGGTCATGGTTATTGATAGGCTAGCAAATTTTATTCAGGTTCTTTAAGCTGGTTTCGTTTGTTTGTTGTAAAATGTCGCTATATGGTGACAATCTGTAACTAATCAAGTTTGGACCAGACAATCCAGTGATTGACATCTTGAGCATCAATCTGCGCAATTGGGATGAGGGTCAACCCTGTCTGCGAGCCTGACTGTAATGAGTTTATGCAAGCTATTTATAGCCCTTCAGTATATGGTCACATGATCATCATAGAGAGCCTCGTTTTGGGGGATATAGAAAAACATGGTGTCTACGTAACGCTACATGACATTGTATTTAACCTTGGAATGAATGTTGCAACTTCCATGAAGGAATAAAACATTACATGGTGTCAGAAGTAGAGACGAACGCACAAGCAAGGATTTTAGTGGAGTATCTGCACCTCAGATGAACTGGGAGTCGGGAAATATCCATGAAAACTGGCGGCGTTTCCGTCAGCATGTTCACCGGACCTCTCGGAGTGAATGAAGTCACTTACTTCGGACACAAATTCACAAGTCAAGGCCTTATGCCAGATCCAGTGAAAGTCACTGCCATCGTCAATATGGATCATCCGGCCAACAAAGAGGAACTGCTTACTATCCTCGGAATGGCAAACTACCTAGCCAGATTTGTGCCAAACTTGTCTGACATCACAGCACCCCTAAGGATGTTAACAAGGCAAGACGCTGCGTGGCATTGGGATGCAACACAGGACCAAGCCTTCAGTCATCTCAAGACCATGTTGTCATGCGAACCAGGACCAGTACTCCAGTACTTCAACCCAGAAAAAGAAGTCACTCTACAAGTGGATGCCTCAAAATATGGGTTAGGCTCAGTCATGCTCCAGGAAGATAGACCTGTGGCGTGACGCCTCTCAAGGACACTAACGGTGACTGAACAAAACTATGCTCAAATTGAAAGGAGCTGTTAGCAATATGCTTTGGAGTGGAAAGAAACCATCAATTTCTCTATGGCAGAGAATTTACCATGGCCCACTCTGATCACAAACCCTTGGAGTCAATCATGAAGAAACCACTGGCCATGACCCCACCACGACTTCAAGCGAATGTTACTCCGCCTACAGAAGTATCGTTTTGAGGTAAAATTCAAACCAGGGAAACAAATACCAGTTGCTGATGCACTGTCACGTCACCCACTGAAAGAGACAGCATCAGACATGGAAGATCTGGACACACAAATACACATGGTCCTATCATCCTTGCCAGTGTCCGACAACAGACTTACAGAACTCAAGGAACAAACAAGTGAAGACAAACAAATGATAGCACTTACACAGATCATCAAGGCTGGATGATCAAACGACAAGTCCAGCTGCCCCCAAATTGTCGCAGATTTCTGGTCAGTACGTGATGAGCTGTCGTTATGGAGAAGGCTTAATTCTTCTTGCGGGGACAGAATAGTGATACCCAGCACAATGAAGAAAGAAATGCTCTCCAAAGTACACACACGGACACATGGGCATGGAGAAAACCAAACGGCGTGCGAGATGTATTATATTGGCCTGGAATGTCCTCCCAGATAGGCGACCTAGTCTCAAGCTGTGGAATCTGTCAAGAAAACCAAATGTCAAACCCTAAAGAACCACTTACACCTCATGAAATACCATCACGCCCCTGGCAGATGATAGGCACAGATCTATTCCAACTAGAAGGCTGCCACTACATCATAGCAGTGGATTACTACAGCAGGTTCTTCGAAGTCACAAGTCTCCAGGACACAAAATCTTACAAAGTGATCCAGAAGCTAAAAGGTTTCTTTGCTCGTCATGGCATCCCGGAGGTAGTTAAATCAGATAACGGCCCACACTACAGCTCTGATGAATTCAAGAATTTCTCTAAAGCCTGAAACTTTAACCATGTCACCAGCAGCCCAGGTTACCCAGCATCCAATGGCCTGGCAGAGAAAACAGTCCAAACTAGATAAACAAGACCCATACCTAGCGTTGTTGGAGTACAGGAACACCCCAATTGACAACATAGCATCACCAGCACAAATGAGCATGAGTCGCCGCCTCAGATCTATCCTACCAGCAACCCACAAACAGCTACAGTCCCAGACCATTAATTGCTCGGATGCCAAGGAGAAACTACTCAACAAACAGCTGAAAAAAACCCTCTTCTATGATCAGAAGGCACATGCTCTTGCACCTCTTAAAGGACATGATGTTGTTCGCATGCAATCCCCCTCAGGCAAGTGGCAACCAGCCAGAATAGTTTAACAGATGGACACCCCAAGATCATATCTAGTCCGAACACAAGATGACAAGGTCTACCGCCGAAACCGCAGACACCTCTCTAATCCCATCAAGAGATGTATGTTCACAGAAGAGGGTGAGGCCAATCACCCCATACAACCAGATCAAAATCAGCAGCAACAACACAACACTGACCATCAGCACCAACACAACAATGCCTGTACTAACACAGCTGACTCAGCTAATGCCACACACAATGAAAGGCAACCCAAGACCTTCACTGCAAGTGGCAGACTAGTTTTCAAGCCATCAAGATACGATGACTAAAAAACCCGCTAAAAGTTCAATTATAATGTGTATCCATGAACTGTAAATATGTTTATCTCGTAACTGCACAGTATTTGATGCAGCATTATTAGGTTGTGTACTCTGTTAAAGTACAAAAAGTTTGTGTTAAGTTCAAAGACAATTCAAGTTCAACATGACTCCTGGGTGCCAAAGAACTTTATTCCCTTCAAGTTACAAACATGATGACATCGAGCTGATTATCACATGAAACAACGTAAGCTGTAATGATAACAAGTTACGTTAAATTTCACATCAAAAGAAGAGAGATGTAATGAGTTTATGCAAGCTATTTATAGCCCTTCAGTATATGGTCACATGATCATCATAGAGAGCCTCGTTTTGGGGGATATAGAAAAACATGGCGTCTACGTAACGCTACATGACATTGTATTTAACCTTGGAATGAATGTTGCAACTTCCATGAAGGAATAAAACATTACACTGACCATCCGATCCCATTAGTCGCATCTTACGACACACATGGTTTGCTTAAGACTAATTCCAACTTGGATCTTCACAGGGTGATCAGTTTCTATGTCTGATTGTTCATTTTACTCATGTACAACAGGATGTGCACAGGGCTTCAAAAGGCCATGAATTTAGGAAGTTGTCTAAAAAATATTTGCCTTGAAAAGGCTTTGAAAATATAAGTTCTACCAAATTAATGCGATTGTGATGTGGGATGGGTTATTGACTATATCACATGCCATAACCTGAATGTTTGCATCTTGTTTCTTTGTTTTGTTGAGGACAAAGTTGTATATATAGAGAATACTAAACGATGTCCCATGTAATACCATATTTATGAAACGAATGAATGGTTTGGTATCTAACAAGCAAAAGCGAGTTGGATACCAATACCATTCACGAGTTTCATAAATATGGTATTACACGGGACATAGTTTAGTATTTTATTTATTACTCACCCAACATTAGCAAAATAATATCGAGCAAAGTAATTCTTTCCTAAGAATTCAACGAGTGTGATGACTCTCAGCTTTCTCGCGAGTCAAGCAAGGTCTAATACTATTGTGACAGAGGTATTAGCATTGTGACGTCATAACTGTAAACCACTTTGACGTCATACGTATGGCATCACGAGATGTTATTACACAATGTGTAATAACATTGTAAAATTATTAAACAGTGATATCTTCAACGGGTGAGTAATAAAACCCAATGTATACCACTCAAGAAGTAAATGTTTTGCCTAACAACAATCCACTTGTAAACCTGGAACCTGTTAAATCCTTTCAGTGTCGTAAGGGACAAAAAGGGGGCTATGGGGTAGCATAATGGTTAAAGTGTCTCTCTTCACGCTGAAGACCTGAATTTGATTCCCCTGGGTATTATGTGTGAAGCCCATTTTTGGTGTTCCTCACCGTTATATTGCTGGAATATTGCAAAAAGCGGTGTAGAACCATACTCACTCACTCACTCACAATATCCCCTTTGCAAAGAGCCTAGCTCATATGAACTGACAGCATGACATTTTTGGAATGCATGACAAATTAACTGACAATATTTCATATTAGGTCAGGTTTTATTTATTAACAGATTTCTGTGATGTGACTGAATTGTGGACTGTTTTATCACTCAGTGTAGTCAAGGTTGTAGCAGTGGAGTAGCCCAGTGGTTAAAGCATTTGCTTGTCATGCCCAAGACCTGAGTTCGATTCCCCACATGGGTACAATGTGTGAAGCCCACTTCTGGTGTCCCCTGCCGTGATAATGCTGGAATTTTGCTAAAAGCGGAGTAAAATAAAACTCACTAGCTCGCTCACTATTGCAGGTTGGATCACTATTCACTCAATGCACAATCCCAGATCTGTATTGATGTTTTTCATACAACTTGTATTTAATCAGGAATCCAACATTCAAAGACTTATTAAAGCTTTCATAATATTTGATAGGTAGAAATGTG